CAGTGTTTTCGATTCCATGAACGACTGTCAAGGTTTTGATTATGGTGGTGAAAATGCAACCGCAGTTAATCATGAAACAATAGAAGATCAATGCAATTATTCAATGAGGAATGAAGATAGTTGTAACGATCGAAACGAAACATTACGCGAGCACAACGACAGAGTTTTTGTAGATTTTGTCGATGATGACGTTGCATCGTTGAGCAATGAATATGAAGGTATTGATTTCCTTTCATCGTTGAGCAATGTTGTTGTTTAATCAAAACTGTTTCAGAAGTGTATATGTTAATGAAACGTGTTTCAGTAATGTTACAAACACATGATTTGAAAAGTGATTATCGCATTTTAAATTATATATACGATAATGAATCATGTTTCATACGAACGGATTTCATAAACAAGTGTTTTACATGCTTTTTTATAAGCACTGTAACAATCTGATAATGAACCTAAATTGAATGTAACATGTTGTTAATGAACCTATATGATAATGCAATGTAACATGCTGTTTGGTATCGTGAATCAGGTTTCATAAACATGTTTGAATGCACTGTAACATATAGTCTTATATGGTAAATCAGGTTTCATAAACATATAGGAGAATAGATTTTCGGTGTTCTTTCTTGAAACCTGTTAATGTGTGTGTAATATTTTCATCAAATGTCATATACATTTCATAACATCGAACATGCCAATAGCATAATGTTTAAACAAACTAGAAAATTCAATACCAAAAGCAAGTTATTAAAACCGTCTACATGAGAAAAATATAAAAGAACATCAATCAATCAGATTCGAAATCTCTCAGTCTTTGTATCATCAGCATGTTTTCTTAACTTTTTTCGGATGGCTTCATCCATTGATTGAAACTTCTCAACTTCCTTAACGACATATTCCTTCTTCTTGTTGTAGTTGCCCACCAATAATTTTGCTACATATTTCATTCTGAGGGACGCTATTTGGATCTCTTGTGTTTTTCCTTCTTGTGCCAGGCCAGTTTTCCATGTTCGCACATCTCCCATGTACGTCTCCATGTGTCTCATTGCAAACACGCCACAATCATTGAAGTTGTTTTGTGTCTGCCAATCTATCCTCAACCTTTCTTGGCCTATTTCATCTAGTTCTCTCCCCGCTAGATGTCCAACCGCATTCAAATGCCTGATAATCAATCTTTGCTGCACAAATGGAATGAAATTCAAATTTACAGAGGACGAACCTATTCACGTATTAACATCTCAAATTGCACACTGATCATCAACATAAAAACCCAAAACAATAATGCAACCATATTACACTTTCTATCCAAATTAACCTTTAAATTATCTATACTAAAAAAATGCATTTAGCTTCTTGTACTGGACGAACTACTTTTTCATTTTGATACATTTCAAATGCAAAAGGCAACTACTGAGGTGAAAATTAGGAAGTTGTTTGTCTCCTTACATATGCAGCACTCTACTAAGAACGAAAGCCTATCGGGTTAAGATTTATCGGATAAAAGGCTGTCTGTTGTACTGCACCTGGGTTCACTTTGAAATTATGATTTGATTGAGTTGTTGACGATCAACAGCACACTACTTCCATAGAAGAAGCATCAGATTCAAAAGATGCAACAAGTTCATCATCCAAATTCTAACCAAGCAAATATATCATTTACTTTGGGATACACACATGTTATCTATCGGGGCTTTTTGTATCATGAAGGGAGATTAATACATAACAAAATTTGTTCTTGTGTACCACCTATTTTGTAAGCTTTGCTTTGAAATCTATAATACGTATAAGCTTTTAATGTTGACTGTCATACCATTTTTTTGAGAGACTGATGCTGGAGCAAAAAGAGCATTARYTTCATCATGTATGAACAGAGAGGYCGCTAATGTGGCACATACAGGTTGTGAAACTAATGATATTGCATTTGAACGTTAATGAATTGCACATTACGGTATTCAACATTACTAACCATTTACATATGTTGAGTCCTCTAAATCTTGGGCTGGAAGAACTGGTTCGCTACTTGGTAATGCATCTGGGTTCACTACAAATGACAACAAATACACCCATCAAATTAACTTCCAAAAAGATATACATAATGAAATGCTAATCCAA